TGAGCTGAGGCTGGCTGCAGAAGCGGAAGTTTGTATTTGCCCACTTATACAGCGAACGAGTTAAAATTTATTGGTATTTCGGCTAAAATCTCGCAAAGTATAAACCACTTAGGTGCAACGCCTAGGGGCGGATAGCGGCAGGGGCGTGGCCATGGCAAACACTTTCCTATTTTGTCTTGGCTGCACTTTTCTATATATAGTTTTTGTATGCCCTCAATTGTTGTTGCTGCACTTTGAAGGCATAAATCAGCCATGAGCAGCAGCAATGCCAAAACTAAACCTCCTCGTAGACCCACGCACACACACACATACACACACACACACACATACAGACTAACGTGTGTGTGCGTTTCGTTTAAAAATCAGCAAAAGGTAAAGCCAAAGCAACAACAAAAACAACAATAACAACAAATGGCCATATTACTTGCAACAATTGCAAGTGCTGTGAACCCATATATTGCCCTGCTCCCCTCCCTTCACTATATACATACATACATATATGTATATATACCCTCTGTTGCAGCTTGCTTGGCGCGCATAAAGTTTCATTCAGCTGCAAAGTTTGTTTATATTTTATTATATTTTTCCCACGGCTTTTAAACGTTTACAGATCGTAAAAAGCAGATTGTATCGCTCCACAGATACCCTGTAGACCAAGTCTTGGCTTAAGCAGGAAATCGATAGGACATAAGAATTACCTCTATTAAGTGTAAGGCTAGTTTGATGGGGACAGCTTCGTAGTAATATGATGATTGCATTGGAAATATACTTGGTCAATAAGCAAACTTTTTGAATAGTTAATTTTACATATTCATTCCATATTTAAATACATGTTTTTGATTTAATGCGGCTCCAAATCATTTTTATGAAGCCCCATTTCAATTGATAGGGTATAACCCTTATTCAACTTCATTGGCTGGAAAGCCCTTCACGCTCACAGCACGGCAGCAAAGAAAAGGAGAAAAAAAGATTTCATTTAATTTCCGTGGTCATCCACATGAAGTAGTCTGCCTCGCATTTCGACTGCACAAGAGGCGTTAAAAAAGAACGGATGGCAAAAAAAAAAAAAAAAAAAACAGAAGTATTAAAAGGAAAATGGACTCTGCACTGAAGGGGGGCACGTGCCACGTGCCAAGTGGCAGCCTATTAGCGAGTGGCTACAACTCGACCCTGAATTAGCATGCCTTGCAAAAAGATATTATTTGTTAAGTTGCTGTCAGTGCCTTAAAAGCCTTCTCGCAGAGCGAGCCACTTGGCAGCTCTGAAGATCGGTGGGCCGCTGCTTGTGGCCAGTTCGTGGGGCATTAAACAAATATGTAAAATTGTGGGCCTTACACACCATTCACTACTGGCAAGGAGAGGAGCCAAAACGAGTTAGTCTTGAATAGCCTCTGACCTAAACTTCGTCACACACTTCTGGGTAATCAAAGCTTATGTGCCGCTGTTAGGTTTTCTGGTCAGGCTTGGAGTTGCTATCTGAAATTAGCATTTTAATTAAATCAACTGCAAGCTTCAATACCATTGGGCTCTGCAGCCTCATGTTGCACGTTCTGCACGTGAACAGACCGGAAATTACATGGGTCTTCAAATTTTTTAGACTTTGGCTTTTAGATTTTGCAGCTTAGTGTACACTGACCATCTCGAATGCCGGCAGCAGATTCCTTTGAGGCTTCTATACTCAACGGACATCTGGTGATGATTTAATAATTTAATTTTTTGCTCGCAGCTTGGTTTTTGGTGCTCGGCCAGGCCTGGCTTTGGCTTTGGCTTTGGCTTTGGCTTTGGCTTCTACGTCCGCTCGGCCCCACTCCGGGTGTTTGGTCAAACGCACGCGACTGGGGCCAGTGCGTCGCCGGTGTCCTTTTTGGCGGGACGGTGCGGCTCGGTGCTTCAGTGTCTCTGGTCTCAGCATTGGAATCCAGCGAAGCAGAAACTTGGCAAAGCAGCCGGATGCGTGGGTGGCTGGGCCGTGCCACCAAGGAGCAGGCCGCGGCACAGGCCGTAGCCGAGGCTCTGAGTGTGCTCTGCGGAGATGCCTTCAAGTTTAAGTTAGCGGAAATTGTCTGTTGTAGCGATATCCTGCTGCGTTTTACAGTCGCGTTATGAACTCCCGCTCTGTCGCTCTCCCTCTCTCCCTCTCTTAGGCTTCCCTCTTTCTCTCACGTGCGGCTTCTGCTACTGGACGCAGATGGATTAATGACAGCAACGTCTGGCGCACACTTTTGGCCCGCAGTCCTCACAGCTGGTAACTGTCTCAATTTAGATTTGGCACCTTCTCCTTCTTCTCGCTCGCATCATCATCATAATCAACTTTCTTTTTATTATTTTACTTTACTTATTTTTTTTTTTTTGCTTGTGTCTCTGTTCGCCATTGTTTTGCGCTTTGGATAAAACTTTTAATTAATTTTTCATATTTTATGCAGCAGCTCACCTGTGCTGGGTCGCCTCTGCCGTGGCTAAGGTCAGCAGCGCAGCTGAGCTGCTCGACTGCCAATTTTTTAGGGATTGCTTTTGATTTACATTGCACAAGTTACATTCTGCGAACTATACATGTATATATGTATATGTATGAGACATTAACGTAATTCTTAAGGCATTCAATTAGCAAACATCAGAAATGATGTCACGCCTGCTCTGGCATTCTCTTTCCTATGGCATTAATTGTTAACAATATCCCAGCTGCATTATCGTTCAATCAGCTCATCTACTGCTTATTTTCAAGGCACCTTTAAGACAATTTGCATATCTTATGCCATAAAGTATGTATTTAGGGAGTGGCGCTGAGTACTCCACTGGCACATATAAATTTACTTATACATGTAAAGACATATACATTGCAGTAGATGAATGTAGCTGTGTGTGCTGCAAATGCAACTGGTGCATTAATGAATATTTATAATGTACGCAGCTCCTCACTTCGCTGCTGCTCCTCACCCTGGTCAAAGGAACTGGTTTTAATTTATTCGTTCGCACGACTTTCATTTGTTTCACTTTCGACATGGAATTTTTAATCGTAGTAAACTTCGTGAGAGTCGAAATTCAAAGACATATACACACCATTGTTAGAGTGCTCTTACACACACACACACACATACATATATACGCACATTGGCATAGCAATCAACTGGCAAGGAGAAGCGAGGAAACAGAGTGGAAAACAACACAATTTCTTTACTGCAATCATTTTGTTGGGCATTTGCCAGAAAGACAGACAACGAGCGGCAGGCAAAGTGCTTCAAAAACTGAAGCTTAGTCAAGATTTTTCAACAATTTTCCAACAGCTATATTTCAATTTTTTTTTTTTCACTTGCCATCTTCTTGTTGCATTTCAAGATTGACATGTGAAGAGCTCCTCTCAGCTATTATGAACAGCAGCAGCACACTTGGTCTCCGTTGCATGTTTGCCATTCGTAATTGGGCGGGTGTGAGCCTGGACTGGCAGCTGCTCCTGCATGCCGCATGCAAGCATGCAACGCATTTGCAATCGAATCACTTGGCTCGAATTAATTTAAGGACATATTCTACTTCAGCCTTGTTGCATATTCCGATTTATTTACATTTATTTAAAGTGCATAAGAAGACGCTTAGCTTTATTAAATTATGGTCAACATTTTCATCATAATTAAGTTCCATTGTCAATCAAAATATTTTATCACGAACTTGACTGGCGTTTATTTGATTTTCGCCACGCCAATAAACATTTATTTTATTTTTTTGCTCTCTATTCCAAACAGTTCTCATAGAATTCAATCATATGGGATTAAAATCTGTGTTTATGCATTTAACTCAATTTCTATTATTTTTTTTTGCTCTCCCTCTCTTGTTGATTATATTATTATTTGATTTTGCTTAAACGAGCTTCTCGTGTATCAATTTGTGGCCTGCACCATTCCCAACTCGCAATTTAATTGGAATTTAATTCCCAACAAAGAAATGCACGTTCCAGCTTGTGTGTTTTTATTGCAATTAAATATTGTTTAAGAAAATGTGGCACGCTGCTGATATTCGGGTCTTAGAATTCAATTTCAGGCCCAAGAGCTGCTGTAAACATTGTCTAGGATTTGTCATCAGCTCATATGTAGATGCACGCACATTTATTTAAATTAATATAATATTTATATAGTAGAAATTTATTTGAGTCAAATTTGTAGAAATAAAAGAATAATTCCTCATAAATTTTAAATATGATATAAATAAATAATAAACTCTAACTGCATTACGTTTCTCCTTCTATTAAATATAATGCTCCTGCTCAATTTTCCGCCTTAACTTTCGCCCTATAAATAATATATCTGCAGGCGGAGTAAGGTCTCAGTTTCGCCTGGAACTGTTTTCCCTTTTAACTTTCTATTTCAGTTGGTGTCAGTTGTACGCAAGCATGACCTAAATAACTGTTTATCTTTATAATGATTGTCAGGCCGCAATGTGGTTGCCAGGACGAGATGCTGGGGTCGCTGGTGCTGGGGGAGCTGTTGTGATTTCTGGCGCGGTTATTGTTAAGTGCTGAATAAATAAATGTAAATTTTTCAAGATTATAAATCGTATGCAGTTGTAAACAGTTTGCAGACAAGGAAAAGCAGCTGTAGCGGGAAATTGAAAGCAGGGAGAGGTCTAAGAGAAATGCTGGGCAGCAGAAGCAGCTGAAAGCAGAAGCAGCTGAAGGCAGAGAGCTGGGAGCCGGGAGCTGGGAGCTGGGAGCTGGTGGCTGGGATGTGCCACAGTTGCATAAAATTGCATACGGAAAACTGTGGGACCACAATTTCTGGGCCAACAGCATCGATGTCGATGGTGTGTGTGCGTGTGTGTGTCGAGGCGCTACCATGTGCATCCTTCGAGGACATTTCGGTTGCGAGGCACGTTTTAAAGGCTTGATTTATGCGCACTAACTTGGATTTTACAGCGCGCTCGGCACTCGTTTCATCTGGCTCCGGCTATGGCTCCAGCTCCAGCGTCGTCTCCTCAGCTCGTCTGCCATGATTTTGTTGTTTTTCTGTGTGTGTGTGTGTGTGTGTGTGTTTTTTTCTGCTATTTTTGGAGTTCAGCTGGTCGCCGGCGCTGGCAGCAGAGCTGTCAGTGTCGTATGGAAAGGATTATTTAGCGTCAGCAGCGGCTTGCAAGCGTCTCAGCGATAAGAGCGCAGGACTAACGGCAATGGAGGCGATGCGATGCGTCGGAGGTCTGCGACCGCTGATGACGACGAAAAGCGTTCCGATCAGCCGCGTTGAGCCTTGCCAGGGTCGCTGGGAGGGAGCTGCCTGGGAGGAGTGGCTGTACAGTGAAGCCAGGCGGCACGGAAGCTGTGTGTCAGCTGTGCAGCTTCCACCAAAATATCAGCCACTTTAGCCGCAGATAAAGCTGTCGTCCTTTGTTGTGTGCAAGTGTAAGCCCGAGCGTATGTATGTGTGCGTGTGCGTTGGTGTGATGTGTGTGTGTGTGGGGGTGTGTAGGCGACATTCGGCTGTGCGGGCAGCAGTATCATAAAGTGCGCCTCGGCGAACCGAGATACCCAAAGATTTGGCAGTCCGTGCGTAGTTCTTATAAATTTCCATTTAACTTAATGTGCAGTCACATATTGCCAATGCAATGGGACATTGCGTGTATGATAAATACAGAAATTAAGCCATGGACTGAATGGATAAATGAATGAGTTTATGTTCCCCATATGAATGACTTTAGTCCACTGCTAGATAATCAGATTACCATCTGTGACTAATGAAGACTAAGTTAAAGAAAAATTCTCAGTCAGCTGTAGTTCGATTTATATATTGCTTTTCCATAAAGGCGTACATAAGTAAAATGAAAATATTTCTATAAATATCACAAGAGTTCGCAATTGGCAATTCCCCAAGAGTGAAGTGAAGTGCATAAAAATACAAAAGTTGACAAGACCTCGAGGGTTCTTCAGATCATAGGTTGGTCGTGTATGACAGCGCCAGCTGTTGGAATATACATAATTGTATATACATACATATATGTACATACATCTGTATATGTATAGCGCACGAAATATAGCTTGACTTGCGATCGAAGCTGAACCAAATATTTGCGTCTGTCATTACCAGAACCAATGGCCGATGGTCGCGAATCGGCGAGTGGGGGCTATTGAGGGCTTTATGAAATCATAAAAGTAATTAATTGATGTGTGTATGTGTGCAGGCAGAGCGTAATTGCCGGCCCGGACAAATATGCCGTGCACGGCCGTACACAATATCTGCAATCTTTCAGCTTTTGGCGAGACCCCGCGACCCCGCAACATCGAGTTACCGACCCGCCGCGCTGTGCAACCGTAATGAAACTTAACAATTACATGCTGCAAGGCCTGAATTAAATTTTGAGTTGTGGCCGGTTTTATTGCAGATGATAATTGCTATGTAATGACATTGCCCATATCGATTGGGCGCTATCCAGACGCTGGCTCCACTAGCAGCGCTCCGCATGACTACGCTTGGCGCTTTCCCGTATGCGTGCGTTACGCATTTTAATTATCCCATTGTGCGTGGTAGGAGCACATTGAATTGAATTCGTCGCGATGTTGCAAACAAATCTCTGGCTCATTAAAGAAACGGAAAGACCTCAACGAAAATGGAAAGTTAAGCCTTTATCGAAGTATGCAAATGATGGAGATAATTATTAAATTGCGCGTAATTATTAAATTGGTTTGTATTCATTATCAATAGAAAGTTGACTATCCCGTAAGAAGTACGAGTAATTTTCTCTTACAAACTATTAGAAATTTATTCACTTAATTTATGGGAAAGTTTAGATCCTCCAAACTATATCATAATGAAATTTACTATATCTGTTCTTGTCTGTCATATTTGCGTTATTTATAAGCAAGCACTGATTAACTTTTCCGTTGAGGTCTTTAAGCGACAAGTGATATATTTACATCATTTACATTTAGTCACTTATGTGCATATTGCGTGAAATGGTTTAGCAAAATACAAAAAGCAAAAGCCTCTTATACTGTTTTATACTTTATTATAATAATGTACTCATGCATCTCGTATTACGCATTGTAGATAAACAATAATTACGCACATTCAAGCACATGTAAATTAACTTTGTGTGTGTGTGTGTAGTCTGTTGGTGTCCATGGAAGCATCAGCATTTGAATGCGAGTGCTCATATCTGGCGAGTCGGAGCGGGAATGCAGGCGGGGCGGGTCATTACAGATTTATCGCAACGAAATGTAGGTGTACACGATTTATGCACACTTTGCTGAGAGCGACAACAGTAACGATGCCAACAAATCACTGCACCAAACAACAACAACAACAACAACAGCAACAATGAAGATTATATGGCATTGGCATCAAGAGGCGCAACAGCATCAGCAACAACAACAACAACTGCTGGCCACTGGCAATCGCAACAATGCCGTGCAGGGACTCAACGGGTGCGTGTGTGTGTGTGTGTGTGTGTTTGCTGATTGCCCGGCCATAATGTGCGGCTGCCCCAAAGGGCAGCCCAGGCCTCTGACTGCTCTGACTGCTCACAATTCCCACAGCCACTCCGACAACTCGACTCCACCCTCTACCCTCCCTACCGCATGTGTCGGCTGCATGAATGTAGCGTATCACTTAATGTGCGGCCAGCTTCGAGCGGAAACGGAAACGCCCCACAAATCGTGGCCTAATGATCAGCTCTCATTTAATTAATTGTTGATAACAGTTGCATGTGGCATCACCAAGCAGCACCAGCAGTAGCAGCAGCAGCATCAGCAGTCCACGTCCAGCGGCACCTGCTATGCGGAACTGCGTCGCAGGCTGTGCCGACCGCGTTGTTAACCAAAATTCAATCTCCATGATTAAGTGACTGTGGGCAGGGCTCCTAATCATATTGTAATTACCCACGAGATAAGCTAAGTTTCATATTCACTTAACACATGACGTAAACAGATTGCAAATAGATAGAAATGCTTGACATACTTATTTACTTTTTTATTTACTTCAGCACAAAGCTTTATTTAACTTGGAAATTATTTTCAAGCAGAGCTTAAAGTCTGGAATTTCTATAAGAAAATACATTAATCTTTGTTAATTCGCCTTTATCAATAAAATATAATAAAAATAATTCGTTTTAATGGGCAATTTCAATGTGATAAGTGCATTAAATATTTATTTAATTTTAATAT